GGTGTGAATATTGTTTGTTCACTGGGCCAGGTATAGAAACACTGGGCTAAGGAAACCCATATTGCCCTGTTAGAATTGGTCTCCAGTAACATGTGCTTTTGGTAAAAGGCTTTTGGATGTATGGGGGATTTGTTTGAGTGTGTGGATGTATATTGCTCTGATCTTTGCTCACGGTATCAATCACCTGAGTGTGTGGTCCCTATCGGTTGTTTACAGGCTGATGCCATTGAACTAGGTTATGGTTGAGTGTGGCAAACAAACAAGCTATTGTTTACATACTTATTTCAGGGGTTATGTCACGACACCTGGCAGTCTCAAGCAGTGAATATGGGAAAACAAACAGTTTTAACTTACAGGTTCACAAAAATGGGTCAGACACTGTTCTTGAATAATTATGTAAAGGCTTTGGCTCCATCACTGGATGAGTTTTTGACAATGTCAAAAAACAATGGACATGATATATACCTGTGTTTGAGCTCTTCCTGACTCATACTATCAGTGGATAATCAGACTAATAATGTTGTTATCATGGTTATACACTAACATCATGTATAAAACAGTCATCTAGCTTAGAGGATGTCACTGTGGTTTGGCTCTAGGTCCTTGATGAAAGTGATGTCTATAGACATACCTGCATTATGGTGAAATAATGTGATTGTGATTCAGGAAATTACAATGTGAGTTAAGCAGACCTGTATGAACATCATGTCTGAAATACTTCCGGATTGTTATCTGCAGTGACCATCTTCCTTGTACTTTATCTGGAGTTGTTTCTTTTTCTGAGTAGATTTCTCATCAGTTCTGCCATGCTATAAATGTAATGTTTGTCAACTATCAGAATTACAATGTAGTTTAGTGATTGCAGGCTGTTTACTAACTGTCATGGATCCGTGAAGATCCGGGGTAGAATAGGTCTTCAGCAACCAATGCTTGCTACAAAAGGCGACTATGCTTGTTGTAAGAGGTGACTAACGGGATCAGGTGGTCAGGCTTGCTGACTTGGTTGACACATGTCATCGGTTCCCAATTGCATAGATCCATGCTCATTCTTTTGATCACTGGATTGTCTGGTCCAGACTTGATTATTTACAGACAGCCGCCATATAGCTGGAATATTGCTGAGTGTAAAATTAAACTCACTCACTCACTACTAATTGTCATGAGAGGTGGAGGTATGAAATGGTTGTGAAAGGAGGTTTATCCTTTTAAGGTTCCAGATGTATAAATGTGTAGGGTTGGTTCGAATTGAGAAGCAGGTTTATTGGCTTTGGTTATACCAGGTAGATCATTAGATGTGGAACTGGCTTTGGTTCCTGAAGTGGTTGATGTGGTTTTTTTGGTATTAATGTTGAAGTTAGAGTAGTTGAAGTCATGGGTATGGGTGTCGGAATTGCGGTTTACAGGTCTGTGGTTTAGAGAGCATCAGATGTGGATGTAGTTGGAGTCGTGGGTATGGGTGTCGGAAGTGCGGTTTACAGGTCTGTGGTTTAGGGAGCATCAGATGTGGATGTAGTTGGAGTCATGGGTATGGGTGTCGGAAGTGCGGTTTACAGGTCTGTGGTTTAGAGAGCATCGGATGTGGATGTAGTTGAAGTCATGGCTGTGGTTGTGGATGTTAGAAGTGTGTTCAGTGGTTTGTGGAAAAGATCATTGGATATGGACGTGGATGTGGTTGGAGACCTTAGTGTTTTTGTGGGTGTTGGAAGTGTGTTTGCAGGTTTGTGGTAAAGACCATTAGATGTGGAAGTGGATGCCTAGGGTGTTGGAAGTGTGTTTATTGGCTGGGGTATAGATCATATGTGTTTGTTGTTGTTGTTGTATGGATATGGAACAGGTTGTAGGTCTGAATGATGCAGGTGCAAGCAACGTATGTTTTGTTTGAAATGGTGTTTTAAAGACAGGGCTGAGGATCCCAGTGAAAAGTGATAGCCATGAAGTTATTGTCCCTTGTGCTGTTGATTTTGATGAAGTAGTTCAAATTACAGACCAAAGTTGGCTGTGGTAGTTTCCCTTACAGCTCAGGGGGCCGTTGTACAAAGCAACCTTAGCACTTCGCAAGTCGTACGTCTATGTTAAGGTGTGGGAGTTACGATCACCTTAGCGCAAAGATCGCTTTGTACAAAGGCACCCTGGTGACTAATGTCCTCAATACCTTTGTGTCTCACTTGATTTTGGTTCCTAAACCTGCCTGAGTGGTAGGTCCGACTTTCCAATGTGTATACAGGGCTTGATTTAAGAGATGTTAACCTACTTGCACCAGGTGCAACCTAAGATAAAAACCTAGTTGACCAGCCAAATTCCAGTTGCACTGTACTTATTGCAATATGTAATGACAGAAATGTGCACCAGTGCAAGTAACAAAGCACTAAATCGAGCCCTGGTACATGTGTAAGGGTTTTCTGACTCCCTGTTAGGTGTTTTTTTACTTGAAAAAACAATACATAGCTGTGTTTGTTTTGTGTTGTTGTCCAAATGGATGGTGACACCACACTCTTGGGTGGGTTTCACTCAAAGAAGTGATAAATACTGATTATAGAGCATACCTATATTTACCTGCTTTCTCTACACTTCAGTTACGAGGTCTGTTCTGAAAATTCATGTTTGACACAGCTGAATGAATGTGAACTGACAGTTGTAGATAAGTGCAGGAACTGATTACTATAATCTGTGCTGTACAAGTTTGCAGAATGTCGTTTCATTGAATATGGAGCTGTGTTCTTCTTTTGTATGAGATCAAAGATTATCGCTGTTTTTCAACTGTGAATTGACTATTGGATATTACATGGTCAACTATCACAGTCCCCTTAACCAACCGGCATGTCAGGTGCATATATGTTAATTAGTGGTTTGTTGTGATTTTCTACCATCAGTTGGTGAGTGAGTGAGTTTAGTTTTACGCTGCTTTCAGCAATATTCCAGGAATATCACAGTGGGGAACACCAGAAATGGGCTTCACACATTGTACCCATGTGGGGAATCGAACCCGGGTCTTTGGAGTGACAAGTGAACGCTTTTAACCACTAGGCTACCCCACTGCCCAACTATCAGTTGGAGCAGGGGCATGCTAAAGCAATGCAATTCGCTGGTGCTTTCAAATCCTTGTTTGCCCAATAATGTTTCTGGGTGTTTGGCAGCTGAGACAGCATCACTTCGGGCTTTCTTCCATTTTAAAACTGACATGCAGCGATATGAAATGAACATTGTTCAAAGTGGTGTTAAGTGCAACTCACTCCTCTCCAAATTCATGGTAGACATTAAAGTTTCTATTCAAAGTTAGCACATCTTGGTGCTTCTGTTCTCCCAAGATGGTGTTTCATTCAATATTTTTCATGGATATTATGTAGTTTTGTCTTATTAACATAGTTATTTAGTGTCAACTCCCTTGATAACAACCTTTCTATTTCTGTTTTATTTTTGTGACTGGTTTCTGATGCCATCAGTGTTATACCACAGTTAGGCAATACAGTGTTGTAATCATGATGGTCTTGGTACAGCTGCACTCAACTTGTAGCCAACACATCAGTTACATTACTGAATCACAATACAAATAAATGTTTTAAAATGTAGTGACTAAGCCTCCTTGTACTTTATAGATGAATATGGTGGTACTATATATAAACCTTTAGTGTTGGCAGTTAAACATAAAAGTTGTTCTTGTCAGTACCGTATTCTTAAAGCTTAAAAATAATTGGGGGTTCCTAGGTTCAAACACTACTGCAGCAAACCTCTACCTCAAAACCTTTTACTAATCAACATTCTATATTCTATGAAGTGGCAAAGTGTTGGCCAGGTCGTTCGGTACAATGTGTCAGGACCATCCTTGGTGCCGCCCACACTGACATAGCTGCAAATTGCTGATTGATAAAAATTACATGATCCTTTTTGAGCGATTTTGACTTAATGAACGTTTTGAAACTTGCATCACATGCATGCTTCTTTAAACTCATTATGTCATTCGAGACATATTAAGCTATTTGTCCCTCTTCTCTTGAGACGTAATTTTTACTCTTCATTTTAAATGGGACATTTTAAATATCTCCCTTTTTGTACCGTGTCTTTAGTTAGGTAGACCATGTCATATTTTTAAGTTCAATGGTAAATAGTCTTAAGGCGTGTTTATCTTCCATGCTTTGTGATCACAGATATTTAAACTGTAACATATAGGACAGTCCCACTACAGGTACTTTTTAACATGTTTTATGATGATCTAATACATCTACAATGCTTTGATATGATTGTGACATCGGAATTTCTAGTCTTGCTGTTCTACCTCTCTTTCTTCAATCGGTTAATTCTATGGAATATTTTTAACTTTCATGCAGTGATGATTCAATATGTGAATTTCTTTTCACATTTCTTAGCCCTCCTTCTTGAATTGGGTTCAACTATGTGCATCATTTTAAATTTTCATGCAGTCATGATCATAAATGTGATGCTGGAATTTATATTCATATTTCCTTTCTGTCCTTAAATCATGACATGGTGTATGGAGGATTTTTACATTTTGATGCAGTGTTGGAAAACGCGTGTAAATTTTGATGGTAAAAGGGTAGAAGAGTTGATGAGGCAGACACCTTAAGCTTTGATACTTATTGGCTTTTAGGGCACTGGTACCTCAAGATTGCAATTGATCAGAACATAAATCTGTACTTTATACTTTAAGGTGGCAGATCCACTGTCTCAGATTTAAATGTACAGTTCAACTCACACAGTAACTATATACTCTGATGGTTCACATCACAAATGTTCAGGGGCTCTCAGACAGACTATAATTGCACTATATCAAAACACTCACTGCTTTAGCCTCTCCAGGAATGTGCCTAATTGTGTTGAAGGGTATTGTATTAGGAACAATTGTTCAAGAGAGAATGTGATTTCTCAACCGGCTTCCATGCTTGAGTGAGCAACAGGTCGTCATTCAGGTTTCTTATAATAGCAACAAGTGAACGAGCCAGTTCTTCCCAAGGCTGCTACCGGTCTCCTGCCTGTCCTGTTCAGCAGAGTGTGACCCAAGGAGTTGTCGTCTGCTTATTTGCGTTCTACCTAACAGTTGTCGAGAACAGCCACATCTTCGTAGGTGGGTGGGTGTAGAGATGTCACTGAAACTCGGGAACCTCTCCATGCAGTAGCAGTTTTGTGAACATTTCCTTCAAGTCCTGTCATCTGCAAGTGAACTTTACGGTATTAACATTGACTTCGTGCACTTCTCAATCTTTTGAGTGCCCGTTCACATTTCACACGTGCTGTCAGGTGCTCAGAGGTGGGATTTACAGCCTGACAGAAAAACGAGGAATTTGTCCCTCTTCCGTTGGGTTGTTACTTGGATGACAGACTGAGCAACTTGTTTGCAGGTGATTTTATTTTTTCACTATCTTCTCACTGCTGACAGTATTGTTATGTCAATTTCTATTGTAAGCTGAAATCTTGTATCTGTCAAATCTGAATATTTGTCATTTGGGTAATGGTAAATTTTTGGTGATTGAAATATTAACTTTTTTATGTAACATACATGCTACTTGTTAACATATTACTGAAGAAAATTTCATATTTGTCCAATTCTGTCAAATTAGGTAACAGACCGAAATAACAGGTGCTCTGTGTTGATTCAAACATATTCTGTCATACAAAATTTCTGACCATGTGAGTTGAAACCATTAAAACTCCCATGGCTAGATATAGACTGAGTCCATTGGGTGCAGATTAGTGACATCTGACATGATGAACAATGTAACTTGTTTGATATTTTTTTTGGTTTTGTATGTGAGTTATCTATATATCACTGTCTTATTGCTTAAAGTTTATGATTTCTACTACTGCTTTCCGTAGATGAGGAATTATATGTCTTGCTTTTATGGATACTGTCTCAGTGATTTTTCTTGAGTCGTTCTGTGATATGAACATTCTGAAGAAGGACGATTAATGAGCCAAACTTTTATATAATTCTCTTATTTTACCTGTGCATTAAAGGTATGTGTCATGTAACGTCTGATGTACTTCCAATGTACATATGATACATCATAAATTGTAGGGCAGGTGCATTCTCAGTACTGAGTTTACGGAGGATTAGATTTCTTAGGACTAACGTAGCAGGGCTTGACATTCACCCAAATTCCCGAACAAGACCACAGGACCAGTAACTTTTAAAAATCACTGGTCCTTACAGATTCTTACTGGTCCTGCTAAGGGACTCTTATTGACAGCCTTAAATATCTACTAGACCGTCGGGATGGCACTTATCAAAGTTGCACTAGTCCTGTCAACATTTTACTAGACCCGGGCCAGTGGGATAGCGTGAATGTTGAGCCCTGTGTAGAAGTTGCTTTATGTTATCACACCAGACACGAGTGTTTCTCTTGACCCAGATTACCCTATACTTATCTCAAGGCCCCTTGGGGACACTGGGCCGGATAGTTATGTCAGAATGTGAGGATTATTTCTCAGATATTGACTACTGGTTGGACTGGTCCCAGTTTCACATATAGGTCCCTGTGATACATAAAATGGATGGCACCGGTATGAAGAAATCATTCATACACGTTTCCCTTCTAAGAGGCTAATGGATGCTAAGAAATGTAGAAGGTTTTCTTACACAATTTTGTTTTTTAAATCATTACAGATACAGCTTGTTGTTTTAAGAATATAATACAAATATAAGGGTAGCCCAACAGTTAAAGTGTCTGCCTGTTGATCCAAGGGTTTGATTCAACATAGGTACAAGATGTGGAGCCCATTTCTGTTAGATTGCTGCAATTTTACTCAGAGGTGTAAAACAGAAATAAGTATGAATGATATGAGAAATGTTCTTACTCTATGACATGTGACACATTTTGGACCTAATATTTAAGAACAGATATGACTGAGGCATGTAACAGGAGAAATATGCAAGCTTGAAGTTTGAGATTAGTGGAAGGGGTTTCCTAATATGTCTGTGATTTCAACATTATAGTGTAATACTGAAGCACAGATTATGTCCCAACTGTAGCCAAATCTTTTGTTTGTTTTTAATGTATTGCCCTCTGGATATTCTAGCTACATATGATGGTGGCCTCTAAATAATCAAATCTAGACCAGACAATCAAGTGATTAATGTCATGATCATCGATCCGTGTTGTACACGTCCGATGACACATTCAACCAGATCACCCAGCCAGATATCTCCATCCATTTATCACCTTTCACTATCAGCTTAGGGTGCTGGGGACCATTTATCCTTACCAGGAATTCTCACGGGTATTATATTCAAGAGTAATTTATACTAAAGTACAGGAAAGTTATAGTATCATATGTTTTTTGGGAAAATTTTGGAATGCGAAACTAAACATGATTTAGCCTATAAAGAATAATTCCTCATGTGTCAAAACCATTGGTTGCGAGACGCCTATAAAGAATAATTCCTCATGTGTCAAAACCATTGGTTGCGAGACGCCTATAAAGAATAATTCCTCATGTGTCAAACCCATTGGTTGCGAGACGCCTATAAAGAATAATTCCTCATGTGTCAAACCCATTGGTTGCGAGAGTAGGTTGAGAGGTTAAAACATGTCTGTGTTGATATTTAAATACCCCCCTTTGACCTAGTCAAGCGCGATCCACCCGCTGTGATATGTAGTCTTAACATACAGCCAGGTGTGAAAGCCTTTCTGTTCAGTGCTTATCTAGTTCAAGGCTTTTTGAAGGATCAAGTTATCGCAAACTGAATATCTTTTTAAATGTTTTCTTTCTTATTTGCATGATAGGTCTTCATTGAGATTTTGATAGAAATTCAATATATATGTTTCTCAGTGAGCAGTTAATAGTGTGCTGAGGGCCTATTAGCAATCATAGTGCTGAAATTACTGTAGCTCCTAAACTCAAACACACTCTTTAAACAGTCATACACTTACCTCAATTTGTGCAGTTTGGACCAGGCCTGATACCACAAAGCATTCTTAATGCTATGACAATTGTAAACCTATGTTAAAGTGTGGGTGCCACATTCACCTCAGTGCAATGATGATTTTGTAGAACAGGCCTCTGGTTCCTCCATAGACCGACTGAACTGAGTTTGGTTTTACGCACGCTTTTAGCAATATTCCAGCAACATCACAGCGGGGGACACCAGAAATGGGCTTTACACATTTTACCCATGTGGGGATTTGAACCAGCGTGATGAGCCAACGCTTTAACCACTAGGCTACCCCACCGCCCCTCCTCCATAGAAACCAAGGGTCAATGTTGTTGTTTTTTGAGAGAACAGTTCATTTTAAGAGATTATGCATTCATAATTATGCTTGTTAAGGAAAATTGTTCTTATGCTATGTTTCTTTTCACTCTGCTTGTCACATGGTATTAAGGGGATCTGGGTACAAAGCTTGATGGTTCATGTATCTTTCAAATATTTAAGGTTACCATGGTTACTTTATTGTTTCTAATTTGAGACCACATATAGAAAATCACAGCTTGTTTGCACCAATTTCCTGAGAGTAAAATCATGTTCATTACCAAATGATCATATCCAACTCAAATATCAAATTCAATACCTACTGGGGCAGGATTTTTTAGTATCTCACACTATGCAACTTTTTATCTAATTATCTCTTTCCTGTGGTTCTGTGTAGGTAAACATGTGAGGAATTCAATGGATGTAAAACACGGGATATTGCGTCAAGTGTGTTTGTTCAGTGAATCCAGATTAAATTGATTGTACAGGGCTAGATTTGTATGTTACAGCAAGGAAGAAATTCTGGTATGAGTGTCTGAAACAATGTTCTGTGTTGAGTAGGGATATTGTCTGGAAGCTGGCCCGGTGACCCCGTGTACACTGACATGTACATGTTTGCTCAAGGGTTTACAAGGGTGTACAGAAGCGGCAAGAACATTTACTCAGCTGACTTAACAAGGTAGCTGTTTGTTAGGCAACCTTGTGTAATTTAAAAAAGAAAAGGATATTTTTTTAACAATGGGGATTCCTTAAGGGTTGTCAAGAAAAGGGTACTTTTTTAACAAAGGTGATACCTTTAGGGGTGTCAGTGTAAGGATTGAAATATGTACTAACTACCCTTTCTGGAATACAGATTTTCTTATCAACTTACCACAAAACTCTGAACATGAAAATGTGTTCATCTTTACAAAAATCCAAGCACTTCTTACTGCCATTTTGTATGGCAGAACAAGTTAACGTGTCCATTTCCTGGTTTGTGGTGATCTGTGTGCATGCCTGAAAAAACATTTACTGTGTATGATCGTAAATAAGCTGAAGTTTGAGGACCAAAAATTTGACTTACTTTTCTGGTTGTAAGAAAACGTCATCGTATCACTTGGTGTCAAAGAACAAGAGACAATGACTTTTGTCGGTCAATTAAATTCTTTTTTTTGTAGTGTGCTCAATTGTTTTGGGGTCCAGTGTGACATATAATACTTACAATGAAAGACTTAGCTGCACTAAGCTGTCTGAAACGTCTTAAGTATGTGATTAGGCTTGACTGCTTTAGAAACTTTATGATCTCTGCACAATTAATAATTACTTGAGCAGCTTGGTTAATTTTATATGCATTAATGTATTGCAGCTGATTTACGAAGGTAGCTGTTTGTTAGGCAACCTTGTGTAAGTTAAAAAAGAAAAGGACTATTTTTAAGTCGAACCCAGCTTATCTGGACAGAAACCATGCATTCTGGGTGATATTTATGTGAACCAAAAGATATAATCCATACAGCCCTGGCTTCAGGATTTGGATGTGAATTTCAGTTACCAACAGTGGAATAGTACCCACAGTGTTATGTCGCACTTACCAGACAACAACCATGCTTGACAATGATTCGTTTGCAATTCACCATCCCATGTTCATGTCATCTGAGTTAATCTACTCATGTCATTACACTTACTGCTTAAGATAACTGTAGATCACATATGTATAATTTATTAAGTATATTCAATATTTCAATATTTGTAATCTATTTTATTAAGTACATTATATTAATTTCAGTAAAATCATTTAAGTGATTGAAGATATCACCGTTTTTTTCCACCAACCCCTAGTATATGAGTATTATTACCTCTGTTGAAGTTAACATTAGTTGATAATGGATAAATATATCATAAATGTCATACTCTGATTCTTAAAAACTCATATTTGTTGAAGCATGACAGTTATATTCCACCATAACATTTTTCATATGGAAATAGTAGGGCCAAGGCAAATCTCAACAATGACTGATCAAGCTGTGCTATATATTAAAATATACCCAGCAATAGCAAACAGTTTTATCAAGGAGGTACACTTATAGTTATTATTAGTTTGTATTTATAGTATACACTGCAACTAAAATAGCACTATATTGGAATTATACAATAGAGAGTTGCTGTTATGCTTCCACAGAATTTTGGTATTGAAATGATTCAGGTATCCAGAAATTTGTTTATTCAGACAATATTTAAGAATAGATGAGTGAGGTTTGACTGTAAACATTGCATAACTTATCAATAATGTTACAAATCTATATTTAATAGAGCAAAACTAATTGAAGCCCGGTGAGAAAAAAGGGGAAATTTCCGTCAAACCTGTACTTGAAGTATTGTGCAATATTAAACAGGAGTTCCTGTTGGTCGACCTATTTCCTTGAATCTGTCAAAAAGTTTCTTATGACTGATGTCTTACACTGACAAACAGGCATATCTGGGGTAGATTTAAGATGAAAATATTGACAGGCTAACAAGAACACTTACTAGTTTGCTCATAGTGAATAACTGCAATATCTTCCTGGCTCTGTGTCCTTATGCATGGAATGAAAGCTATGGCTATGAATCAGTTCATTAAGGGTGATAGGAGTATGGCCCAGTGTATGTATGTCAAGCCCAAACCAGTAAAGCAGGTCATCAGTCTGTAATAATTTATGCACACACAGAGACACACATGCACACAGCACACACAAACGTGCACACATGCACATACATACTTACACCATTTTAGCCAATCAGCAATCATTTTGAACAAGGTTTATTACCTCAGTATCCAGCCATATTTTATAAGCACTTGTCTGGTTAGGTACGTATTGAAACACTCGTTATATGCAATTTCAGTGGTTGGTGTATGCTCTGACAAATATATACATTCATGCTGAACTGATATGAATTAAATATTGTGACACGTGAATAAAACATTGTGTGATATGTATCGTATCAGCATATAGTATACTCATGACATTCCTATTTATCACGCTGTGATACTGATCAGAGTTTGGGATGTATTATGCATGTTGTACATTGTGATTAATAGCCTCGAACATAAATGACACTCAATTAATCCAATTGATAAAGAAAATTGATTAATCATTATGAAGTGATAGGCGGATACATACATCAGTATTAGATTGATTCTCATCAACTAGGCTGGGTTAATATTTTGTACTGAGAGAAACAATTCCCCTGAGACTGACTGACTGACTGACTGAGTTTGGTTTTACGCCGCTTTTAGCAATATTCCAGCAACATCACGGCGGGGGACACCAGAAATGGGCTTCACACATTTTACCCATGTGGGGAATCGAACCCGGGTCTTCGGCGTGACGAGTCAACACTTTAACCACTAGGCTACCCCACTACCCCTTCCCCTGAGACAATTAAGATAAGGTTTATATTTGAACATTACTATTGGTCTCTTGTTAATTAGTGTTGTGAAGATAATTAATCTGTTTCACAGTTAAAAGTGTCTTGAACTAGTGAAAGTATAACTTGGGATACAGAAGTTGATGACTGAAGTCTGTTTACATCTTGATTTTCTGTTTTGTTCAAAATGTAAAGGTATCTATTTTGTGTTGTTATGAACTTAGTAACCAGTAAATTATTCATTTTAGATATTAAGATAATGATTTGGAAATTTCTGTGTGACCATAGCCTGACTTTCTGTATGTTTTGCATACTATCAACTCCTGGTTTTCCTCATCCAGATTGGAATATTAACGGGTTGCGATGATATAATTAGAATATTGCTAACAGCAGGGCCATTCACTCAATTTAGTCTCTCTCTCAATATCAAAACATGCTTTACAGATTACTTGAAGTTGTGCCACCCATATGCATTTCTCAGTTACTCACCTTCCAACCCTTTCAATGTCAGATGCAAGCGGTGTTATATCGAGTTTCATTGTAATGCTTTATGATGTATCCACTTTACCAGTTGCTATACATCCAGTGCCTGTATTCTAGGATGAGATATATTCCCAGGAAATATACTTTGTAATGGTATCATAACATTTTGAGTTTCACTCTTTAAGAGGGACAACCAGCTGAGCAAAACCAATGTGATTTATTCAGGACAAGTGTGAGCGGCTCCTACAAGTGTAGGTTCATTATTCAGGCCATTGTACAGGGTTACACCTGTAGCTACAGACAGTGAACATTCCCTTGTAGAACAGTGAGGAGTGAGTGGCTCGTGACCGGGCAATGGCCGGCATCTTAAAGATGCTTATTTAGAATTTCTAATTTAGCTACGGTGATGTATTAAGAAACAAATGTTTCATATGATATTTCAGTAAAATGTATACATTTTGAGATATTGTTAGAACCCAGCTGAAAAGGCACCATGGTTAACCATGGTCAACCACGGCTTACCACGGAAAACCATGGTATTACCATGGTTTACCATGCTAAACCGTGGTCACTAACATTTCTCCCCATGGTAGACCATGGTAGAGACCACAGCAGACCATGGTCACCAGAAACCATGGTAGACCGTGGTCACCAACATTTCTCCCCATGGTGACCATGGTATACCACAGCAGACCATGGTCATTATAGACCATGGTCACCAGAACGATCTTTTTTTTTTGCAAGGTAGAAATGTTTTGATATGATATTGTACTAGAAACGAACATTTTCATATATTGTTGTAAGAAATAAACATTTTGATCTGATATTGTAGTAAACAACAAAGATTTTGATATTGTAGCAAGATCTTTGGTCATAATGATAATGGTGGTTTAAAGTACATACCACTTGTTTATGCTCGGCGATTCAAATGCGACAAATAGCTTAGTTAATGGCATGTTGCTCAGATGACAGGAGAAAGTGGCTCCATTTACCATGATTGTGCTAGTCTATACTTGATGAATCATCTTCACTGTCAGAAATTCAATAGGAAGAAAGACAGAGACTGTGATAGTAGATACCTGTAACTTCAGGAACAGTAATGATAATAATAATAATAAACAAGCTGGAAACATGACTAACACAAGACCCATGATTACCAACTTCGACATGTGGATCAAGGCACCTCCCATGATAAGGCAAGGTTGTGTCATTGCAACACATAGCTGCTCTTTGATAACAGGCATTGTAAGGTGGCAGTAGTCACGCGGGGACAAAAGTGGTCTATTTTTCTCTTTGACATATTCATACTGACTAACAGGTATTATACTATAGCCGTGTAGGAATGTTCATAGGCTATTTCATTGTGGATTCATTGGGTGAGTGATTGCTTTTCCTCTGTTGTGAAATTTGAGTCCGGGAGTTGAGAAATGTTGTAACAGTGCTTCGAAGCATGAAAGGTCATGTAGGTTTGACTTGTTTGATGTGGCACGGTCTGGAAGCAGGTTGGTGGTAAATGAACATGTAGACATGACAGGCTTCTTCTCTCTTTCCATTTTTGTGATGTATGGTTGAAGTGACTTTGTTGACAAAGTTGTAAAGGTGTGTAGCCAGCTGTCAAATGTGTGTAGCAGTAATATTTGTTAGTGATTTAAAAGGATTTATTTATCTGGGTTAAGGTTAATTCTTCTTTTTTTCTCACAAGATTTCCTAGATTTAATATGTCTTCATGTTCTAGTTTTTGAATGATATAATATGTTTGAATCAACATTCTTATGTGTATTATTTTGATTCATTAATAATGTTTACATATAAAACTGGACTCATGAGCTGTTCATGTTTTATTTAGGGACAGAATATGTTTGAACAACAGTTCTATATTTCATGGACAAATCTGTCTGTCAGTGTGTTGATAAGTGACAATTAATTGTTGACAACTCATTTAGCTGGGGAATCCCCACATGGGTACAATGAGTGAAGCCCATTTCTGGTGTCCCCCGCCGTGATATTGCTGGAATATTGCTAAAAGCGGCGTAAAATTAAACTCACTCACTCATTTAGCTGGGAAGACAGAACATGTTTGAATCAACACTTGATAATAGTTTATCAGTCTTATGAATGATGTACTCATGCTATTGATATAATTAAGACAGATAGCGTATATGTCAAACAGTTGTAGAGAGTCGTCGTGTTTGTATAGAATGCCATGCCCATGTTACAGGTGAAGACAAGTTAGTCATCATCACAACCAGCAGAAGAAACTGTGTGGAAAGTAGCACACGTATCGTACAACCAGTGAATGTACGACACCATACAACACATGAATGTATCGCACGATACAACCAGTGAATGTATCTCTAAAGCAATCGTGACACAACCACAGTTGTCCCAGTTCTTTCAGCTAGGCAAACAGTGACTATATTGGTGAATCGGATATTCCACCAGCCCCCAAACCTCCTGTCAAGGGGTACGTGTGTTGAGCTGTCATTCAGCTATATTTAAAGGACCTATAGTATATCAGAGCTCTTGACTATTCATCAGGTCAGAGCTGATAGGGTTTATAGGTGTGACACAATTCATCCAGCTTGGAATGCGTCTTTGGGCGATGATGAATTATTCAATGACAGACCTGATGTCTTGTCTCCTGTAATTGCAACAATTCTGACGGATCACAGCGAGTACGACTTACAAGTGCCACACAACTTCTAAGTCATCAGCAATGGGGACCTGGCTTAAGAAACATAAGTACAAGCTGAACGTAAGTACTCAAGTCCAATAACATGTATACCGGACTAATGATATATATGTCATAGGATACATATACATGTCTTGGAAGTGATGCCTCAGTAGTGTTGAATTAATATCCCTGTCTTCCTGAAACTGTCACACGTGATAGGCTGTCATTTAGGAACAACACTATTTCAAACTGAGTGGTGGTGAAATCAGGTTATTCAGTCCTGAATTCTAAGCAGTGCATTTTCAAAGCTGTGTGCCTAACACTCAGACTGCATTGATAAATGTCAGTTATGACATTTTTTATTTTCATAAGTACATGTGTATATGATAGTGAAATGATAGCAGTGTTGAAGTAATAATAGTATGTCAAGGGTTTAGATATGATAGTTTCATGTTCATGTACAAAACTCTGTAGCTTATAGTGTTTGTTGACATGTATTTTAAGAGTCATGTGACTAGCTGATATTATATGTTCTCTCCAGGCTAACTACAGGCCAGAAACAGATAGTGTTTGAAATTAGCAGCCAAGGGCACCTGTTCATAATCCTATAGTTAGTTGTTAAAGAAGTTACAGTCCCAAGATTCAGTTACCATAGACAAAGACTTTAAGGACCTTAGGTCTTCTTAATTTAACTGAACATACGAACAGACATTTTTTTGTAGTCTTATCTTGTTGTGGAAGTTTAAGATATAAAATAGAATTCACAACTATATATATATATTACAACAACTCACAAAAGATACGCAGCAATGCATGACGAGCCTGCATATACATGTATAGTGTTTGTTTCCCCCAGATTTATGATGTCTGTAGTCTGTCTCAACATCTAGACATTCCAGCTGTACATGCTGTCTTCACCTACAATATTTGATTCTAGGGACCCCTAAATCTTTAACTTTGACATCAGGGTTATGACAAGGATACTTGACTTTCATGGTTAATTTCAAAATGCAAATAATTGTGTGATAACGTATATCTGGTATTTTGACAGTGTTCAGTGGAAGTTAAGGGGTTCCTTGCAACATTCTAATGTGAATGGTGTTATACATTTGAATCCTCATATTATGTGCACTTTATACATTAAAAACTATTTCAAAAACCCTGATGGACACCAACACTTTTGTTTCTAACACTGTTACCGGTAATCTCAAGCTATTTATAATGCTACTATCAGAGTGATATGCCCCGTAGGGTGCTGTTCTTGAGATATACTGGTTGCCTTTAGTCTGTAATCTGTATTGATATTATGTTGCAAACATGCAGATACAGGTTTTGTATTTGTTATCGGGTAATCTGATATACCAGAATATGTGCATCATCTTGTTTATTTCTACTGAATGTAACCCTGATAATCTTGTGTGGTAACATATATATCAAATAGAAGAGGGTCTTTGATGTTTTCTCACATTGTGTTTGCATTATCTATATGCATCACACTGAGGTTGGAATATTGAATTCATGAGAGAGGGATGAGTGTCGGTTAAGGTTTTGCATCATTGTGCAGAGCACTATGCATTCTTGGCCTATTTATTGTAAGTCGGTTATCTGCCCAATCCCCACCCATCTGCAAGCCCTATATTTCTTGACTATATTTTCATTTAAAAACATTGTATATTGTATGCCTAGATATACTACTACAACAAATGATTTTAATGGTATGAACCATAAAATATTGATCCCAGCTTCCTGCTTGCTTAAAGATTTGCCCTTAGTTTTTAACAGAGGTATCCTTTGGGATTGAGACATATCTTACTTTTGATATCTTACCTATGTTGGCATCTAACTGAGTGAAAGTGGACAAATAGCATGATTCTGAGATATTCTGACAGATAAATTATTTGATTTTCATTTCTTCTTGCCTCACTAGATATTAGATGAATTTTGTTCAGCTGTACTGTAAGGCACTTCCAGATATCCACCCCCACATCTTTGTATTGTCCACAAGTTGCGTACAGACTAACATCTCTGCACTGACCCATGCTGGTTGTCAGCTAAGGAATGATGTGGCTTGCAGACCTGGTTGATGCATATTGTGTCCCAGTGTAGATTGATGCTCATGATGTAAGTTACTGGATTATCTTGTCCAGACTTGATATTTACAGACCACCATTGCTGGAATATTGCTAAGTGCAGCATTAAACAAACAAACCTGCAGACTCGCAAAGTGACTACAAGTATTGCCCACTTTCTTCCCCTGATGAAATTCAACACAATCCCACCAAGTATTCTTCATACTTCCTTGTGAATTGTATCACATGACAGTTATCATAAATACATGCTTCAAACACATTGTTTACTGTATGTTTAATATCTGAACTGAAATCGTTGATCAAATTTTGTTATAAATGAAAATGTAATTAATAATTTATTATGGCCTTAATTTTAAATATAGTTTGTGTAAACCTGTATATCCTGTTATCATGATGTAGATGGTCCTCAGTAAACAAACAGTTCAACATCAACAGTTTTCAACAGCAACAATGAAAGGGTTGTAGATAAAATGTAGGTGTTGAATATTGTAAAGTATAGGAAGAGTTCCTGGTTCCTTGTCAGAGTGTTTTTAGATGGAAATATTTCAAGTTTTGCAAAAGTGCCATTCACAACTATTGTCATGAAAACAATAGACAGCCCATGCCCCAAACTATTAGATTAGATGAAAAATGTTTGAATTGGACTTTGGACTAGTGGCGAAAGTCACAGACTGCATCCATATACACAAGAGCTGAATGTCATGATACAATGTGATCTGAGTGACGTTGGATTAATATTGCCTTGAAGTGTCCCAGTTATGTCACGGCTAGTCATCTTAATGTGGTATACTTTTACTGTGTTTGTAAAACCCATGAGTACTGGGATGGTGCTGACAAACCTAGAGACTTAATCAGGTTGACCCAGGATTCAAACCTTCAGTCATAGATGGCATAGCCTAGTGGTTAAAGCTTTGGCTTGTCATTCCGAAGATCCGGGTTCGATTCCACACTTGGGTACAATTTGAAAACCCCATTTCTGGTGTCCCCCGCCGCGATATTGCTGGAATATTGCTAAAAGCTGCGTAAAACCAAACTCACTCACTCTGCCATGCCAAAGGGACTGTGTGTAGCAAATTGCAGAGCTCTGGACTACTGGGCCACCTGTGCACCCTGTTACATTATGACAGACTCATGGCGTGTATCAGAAAGATGGACACAAGCTGCAGTAATTCTGCAATGCACTGTAATGTTGCACCCATCCAAGACTGCACCTTCTAACTGTGTACCCTACCACAATACAGACAGCCAACCCTCCTAACTTTGAAACATATATTTTTAAATGTTGACCTATGATATGATAGCTGTATTTAAACTTAGTGTAGTACAATGCAATGATGTCATTGTGAACCATCCTACCCTGTTGTATTTATTCTGTTACAATTGTCTGTTGGATCTGAGGATTTCATACTTGCAATATGTGGCAGGTGGTGTGATAGAATAATCATATGTTGTTCATACCCTTTTGGTATGTGTATTAAGTTCTGTCCTCAATAATGATAAATGATAAAAATGTAATGAATTAAAGTTGGGACATTTGTATATTTTATTAACAAATTAAACATGAACTCAAAAGGAATCTGTTACTAAAGCTGCATAGATAAATAGAGGTTTCATTATCATATTGTGAAGAAAAAGCGATATACATGACATTGTATACATGACAAGTACTTTTTGAGGTATGTGATTCATTGAAATAGTGTCGTTCTTTGATTACAACCATACAAGTGAGCTTAAAGCAGGTCACCAGCTTAAACAGTCATGTTTATGGGAAGAACAGTGTTAGAGACTTCCTTTCATATTTTCCATGATCAAGAATGCTAAGCTCCTTTCAATAGCACCTGTTTGGGTACTATAAACATAGGTGTAGCAGTAATCTCAGGAACAGTTCAAGTGTTGCCTTTATATTGTCTACCCTGTCCAACACCCAGCTCTTATACTGGTGTGCTTTATAGCATTTGACAATGTAATCAACCCAAATGGCCTGGCATACCAGCCATTATTATGGGAATAAGCTAGCTTGGTATGTATGGAGAGTAGTTTAGGTCAGAGAAAGGCGTGGCTGGGCTGTCCTTTGCCCTGTGTGGGAGGAATAGTTTCCCAGCCTTTCATTTTTTGTGCATTGAGGACACTTTCAATATGTAGGCTGCTCCACCCAATCGTTCTTATTCTTGGTCTTATGTATTTACTTGTATGTCAGCCCTGTGGATATACCTGGTAAGAATGTAGGTTGATATAAGACATGGCGAAATACATCGGGTGGTCAGCTCACTTGGTTGATTGCATGTTATTGCATCCTAACGGCATGGATTGTTTTGTCCAAAGCAACATCAAATATCTGGAATATTGCTGAGTATGGCATAGAACAAACAATGCTAATGTCTTTGGTTATTGATTAGGTTTTAAAAATTTTCAAGTGTTACATAATACCATAACACCAGTTGAGACAGATTCACATTCTCTACAAGCAAAGCACATGGATCAAAGGACCCCACTAAGTTTTTAATGCATCAAAATTAAGTATTTTTACCACTGGTAATAAAAAGTTGTACAACTCCAAGACAGATAATAACAGGTATGTATGTAATAAAATTAATAAACAAGTGAGATATTCTTATTGTTAGGTTGTTTCTTCTTTCCTTCGTTCATTGATTGATTGAGTGAGTTTAGTTTTATGCCACACTCAGCAATCATTCATTGATAATCACATGGCAAATATGCATGTGATATTCCACATTAAACCAAAGAGAGCCACTACTCCCCCACTACTTGAAGTGTTGCTGTGGCATGCTCCAGATAAGACAATGGCGACAAATGGTACAAACTGATGTGAAAGTTGTATTTCCTTGCTCTGATTCCCTGTCTTCCCGCTACAGCAATTTGCAGCCACTATTTGACTAGTTTCTCATAAAATCAAGAGGCTACTTACAAGCATTTAGATGATCGGAGTAAGCTGATCTCTGTGTCAGATTATTGAGACTGACTGAAGAGTGA